CAAGGGGTAGTAGATCCCCGTGATGGTCATTGTTTACTTTAATGTCCAAGGGGTAGTAGATCCCCGTGATGGTCATTGTTTACTTTACAATACACTGTATAATACATTGATTTGTGTGAGTCTATGGGGTTGAGGGTGACCTTTGCGAGCACTCCATCCCCACAAATACACAGCATGTGTATTCCCCATAGACGAAAAAACCCAATTCCCACCACAACTGTAATCGTATAGAAGACAGATGATCTTTGTGCTTTTCGAAGACATGTCGTCTATATTTGTCTTTCGACACACTTTAAATAATTACTCGCTGGGGCACTGTGCCCCAGACGAGTATATGTTTCGGCACGCATTTTTGGTGGATGTCAGATTTCCGATGTCGGATTTCCGATCGTCGTTGATAGTCACAAAATAGAATATTAATGAGCTGCCTAATTTCCCCCCAATTATCCATAAGGCTCCTGCCAATTTTACCCAAATTATCCATACATAGCCTTGCATTTTGAGGAAAATTCGGGAAAATTGAACAATTTTACAAGGAATTTCGCATGGAAACAGCAAACCTTCGCAAATCGCAAGTTTATAAAAGTTAGTGATGGGCGATACCAGGATTTTTAATTCGATACCGATACCGATACTTTTAAAATCGGTATCGGCCGATACCGATACCTATTTCGATACCAAAATAAACACAAAATTTCAATTTTCGATACCGGAAGTGAGTACTTAAATTGCCAGTATCGGCTACTTTCGATACCTGCCGGTCTGTGGAAAAACATTTTACATTACTGTGTGCAACCTAAATAAAGCTATAAGAAAACCAAAAGCCCAAAACGTAATAAATATATTCTACACATGACTTGGTGCACCACATTTTGAATATTAAGAGTTATTTTAGTGGTTCATTAAGTCTTATTCAACCAAGAACTAAAATTAAACAAGTCGTCTAAAAAAGGGTGCAAGTATCGAACGATACCACGTCAGTAATCGATACCGATACCGCTGTTTGTGGTATCGCTGGTATCGAATACTGAGTACTCGGTATCGCCCATCACTTTGAAAGTGATTCCTAACAATGACTAAAGTCTAGTTAAAAGATCAGATAAACACTCTTCAAAATGTTTACCTGTATGTGGGTACATCTTACATGTTTTGACATGACGAATTATTGGACTGATGGGACTAAGGAATTTTGGAGTTGACTTTAGTGTTTGTGTACCATATGCCATTGTTGTCCTTGCCATTCTAACTGGTAGTTTCAGATTACTGAATGAATACCTTTGAATTCATAAACCTGTACTTTGTGTACTTCATTTTAAAGACTAAGTACACCTTCAGTCTTACGTTTGTACCAGCCCAATTAATATGAGGCAAGGCAATAACCATTGGAGTACCAAATCACACCCTGGGTGATATGAACCCATTGAGTGGCAGCACTTGATCTCCACTTGACAAACAAAACGTCTGGCGTTAGACAGAGTAAAATACTCTGGCGTTAGACAGAGTACCGGTAAAATACTAAAGTAGGGTGCATCAGGGTGCATTGCCACTATGAATTTGGGCCCTATGAATCAAGCATAGCAAGCTTTTGGTACCCCTATGAATCAAGCATAGCAAGCGCGCGAGAGAGAGCCCATGGCTTGGCTGGGTGGCTCCAATCCATTCTCCATTCTCGTACCCAGAGCTATCGTTGAGTGTGCGAGATTGTTTTACAGACGTTTTACAGACAGACATCTGACGGACACAAGATCGAGATCTCGACTATACACAAATCGCGCGAAAGTCTGGGTTGAGTGGACTCTGGAGAAACTGCCACGTGTCACGAATACAGAGGCATAGCCAGGGCTGGGGCCCCCATGGTAAAATTTTGGGCCCCCTCTGATAAAATCTAATGTATAAAAAAGGGAATTCTCGATTATATCGCTTCATGCTGTCAATAATGCAAAAATTCTGTAGAATATATGCTAGTGATGGGCGATACCGAGTGCTCAGTATTTGATACCAGCGATACCACAAACAGCGGTATCGGTATCGATTACTGACGTGGTATCGTTCAATACTTGCACCCTTTTTTAGACGACTTGTTTAATTTTAGTTCTTGGTTGAATAAGACTTAATGAACCACTAAAATAACTCTTAATATTCAAAATGTGGTGCACCAAGTCATGTGTAGAATATATTTATTACGTTTTGGGCTTTTGGTTTTCTTATAGCTTTATTTAGGTTGCACACAGTAATGTAAAATGTTTTTCCACAGACCGGCAGGTATCGAAAGTAGCCGATACTGGCAATTTAAGTACTCACTTCCGGTATCGAAAATTGAAATTTTGTGTTTATTTTGGTATCGAAATAGGTATCGGTATCGACCGATACCGATCTTAAAAGTATCGGTATCGGTATCGAATTAAAAGTCCTGGTATCGCCCATCACTAATATATGCTTTGTTGCGCATTGGTGTTCAACCTAAAATCTTGTTCGCTTATTTGTGGCACACAGCTTGAAACACATACCATTTCTAACCCTAATTATTTCAATATGTATTAAATTAGGGTTAGATGAAGTTTAAACCAATCTTTTTTTACCAGTGAATTTTTAACGCGGGCTCGGCGGGCTCAATTTTCTCGGAATCTTTGTGGTGAAGCATCGCCCCACCTGGGTTTTTGCTGGCCCCTCCTGACGAAAAATCCTGGCTATGCCTCTGGCACAGGCAGTTTGTTTGGTTAACCCATTGAGTGGCAGCACTCTCCACTTGACAAGTAAAATTGTCTGGCATTAGACAGAGTAAAATACTCTGGCATTAGACAGAATAAAATACTAAATTAAAGTACAGTAGGATGCATCAGCTGGAGTGCATTGCCTGCACCTACAGTCAAACCGGATGTTCTCTTGCGAGCAACATTGCAATAATAATATTGTCCCACAATATTGCATTTTTGATAGGCAGATTGCTCTGAGCAATTTGCAACCAATGCAAACAAATTCAATGCAAGTTGAAATTCACAAAAGATTTGCAAACAAAGCCTCTGATTAGATTATAAGAAAGAGGGAAGCCATTATCAAAATAGTCTGAGCAACTCATGGATATTTGGTGCTTCCCTCTTTCTTATAGTCCAATCAGAGGCTAATTGTTTACAAATTAATCTTTTGTGAATTTCACCTGGCAATTTGTTTGTGTCGGTTAGAAATTGCTCAGAGCAATCTGCCTAATACCAAAAATGCAATATTGTGGGACAATATTGCAATGTTGCTCGCAAGAGAACATCCGGTTGGACTGTAAAGAGTTAATGTCAAAAAGAATACAGGCTAGATCTCAGCAACATAGACCAGCCAAGGTACCAATGTTGTCGTTAGCAGTTCAACCAAATAATCCACAAAAGAATGTACTGCATGCATCAATATACTGTATGCATCAACATACTGAAAACTTCCAAAATATAAGTCGATCCTCCTGGAATATAACCCCCTCCCCCCATATATAAGCCCAACATATTCATTGCCCACATTATAATCCCCCCTCCCCCAACATAAGCCCTTTGTGCATAAGCCCATGCCAGCGGTCGAAATTCCTACTATTCCGCTAAATTCCAAATATACTTAAATGCCTGACGGAATAATAAACTTCATGATCACAGTATTTTGTTTGTATACCGTAGTAGAAAAAATTGTGGTACCAAATATCGACAAGCGCTAGGGGTTTCCTCTTGTATAATATATCACTTTATACTGGACTTTGAGCCACTGTTCCCCTTTGGAGCTAAGTTCTTGTTCGCTTGCAGTACTTGCGTATTCTAATTTCTTTGCAGCAATATTATTGTCGATTTTAAGTCACTTTTCAATGTGCGGTTCCCATGCAAATTCGTTGTGAACTTGCCAATTATGTTTCGAAGTTCGCAAATTGGGCACAACCTTCGCAAGTTCATTTCAGTGTTTGAACTTTGTTTTTTATTAATAATTTCATATAAACAATATTTAATTTCAAAAAATGAAATGGCAATTTTTCCAAAAGCCGTAGGCTTATCTAGGGAAAACGGGTATGAAGTATGGAGGCGTAGCGATTACCTATGTAGAACAATGTATTTGGAATTGGATCATCATGCCAAATTTTGAGATTGGTTTTAAAATGAGGTAAAGATTCAGAAGTTTGAACATTTAATGACAAGCTATTCCAAAGTTTAATTGAAGAAATGGCAAAGGATTTTTAATAATTTGTAATAATTTGATTTTTGATTTTTTGATTTTGATTTTTAATAATTTGTTCATCACTGTACAAAGCAATGCACTGTACATGTTTATTTTTTGTTATTCAATTATTCAGTCTCAAGGATGATTTCACGAAAATCAAAACATTAGTGCGGACCCTGCATGAACAGGCTCTCAAAAACAGTACATGTATCAAAGAATAGTAGATCTTCAGACGGAATTGTAAATTTCAAAGTGTTCTATTCCAACTGTATAGCACAAAAAATTAAAATTTCAATCCCTGCATGGGCTAATTATAATAGACAGTATTTATTGACACAGCGCTCTAAGGGGATTACAACAGCTCAGGCGAGTGACAATAATTACATTACATCTTTTTTTTTGCTGTGTTGGTGTAATGTACTCAGGTGAATATGATCGATGCTTGTGATGTTACTCTGAGTGTATATCCACACCGGGCAAGCTTGAAAAATATGCCTGGCCACGGTGGGAATCAAACGTATGACCTTTGGAATACTAGCCCAAAAGATCTGACCACGTAGCTCAGTTGGCTAGTACTCCAAAGGTCGTAGGTTCGATTCCCACCATGGCCAGGCATATTTTTCAAGCTTGCCCGGTGTGGATATACACTCAGAGTATCACAAGCATTACATATCTTATATGTTAACCCATTAAGTTGCAGCACTCTCCCCCTGACAAGTAAAACCATCTGGCATTAGACAGAGTAAAATAATAAATAAAGTAGGGCACATCTGGGCACATTGCCACCTAATCTTTTTTTTCAGTCGAACGATAACGATAAATTTTTGACCAATCAGCGCGCGTATACAAGTTATCGTATCGTTAATATCGTTGTGCAGTGTGACCTGGGCTTTACAGTTTACAAATACAATATATAAAGTATTACTAACTTGGGTGTGCTCATTTTGATCTTCTGGGCATCTGATCAACACATTCTTTGGTGTATTCTCTGAACATTTGTCATGATTCATGTTTCGTTCGACTCGGTGCTTCTATTTAACCGTTTGCCTAAGCTTCTTCATAAACGTAACCATTTTCATTAACGTGACATGTGCGTACACTGCGTAGCCTGCGAACAGGCTCTTTGAATTGAATTTCATGCAAACAGAACAAGGGCAAATAATGTTAGCCAATCAGCGCGTTTGTTTACATTTTGCGTTCTTGACCAATCAGAATGCCTGAAATTCAAAACATGTAAACAAAAGGAGTGAGAAAATAACACCTTGTTCCACGCCCTCGGTGACATTCGATATTAAACTTTTTTCGCCAAAACTGACAAATTCTGCTAAAGCATGCTTTCTTCTTTAATTTCCTCGGGGGGATTTTTAAAATTCGATCTAGAGCGCGAAATATTTATGTTTGAATAACAGTGTTTCGACGCGCGTAATATAGCAGACTCTCACTTGCACTATCTTTACACACACATAAAAAATTGGTAGATTTGGCAGGTTAAACTTATTTTCCTCACACCACAGCTGACATGTTTTTAAATATTACCTATCTGATCTCATCGATCTCATTTCGCATCGGAAATGCGTCACAACGATCCAGGACTGACAGGTACAATATCGCAGTATCGCATGACTCATTACTGTATATTAAAAGTACCCGGTTGGCGAAATGGCGATTGTCTGACCACAGTTAATAGCTGACAGACCTTCGCGAAGGGCTTAATATTTTTGCTAATAAACTGTTCACGAGGGTTTCGTTCTGTTCGTCGTCTGGTTCGTCGTCAATCGTCATCGGCTGCCTCACTTCTTGGTCGCTTTCGTCCTCTTCAAAGCAAGTCGCCGGAGCAAACAGCGTTAGTATTTGCTGTCTTTCCAAGAGCTTCAACGTTGCTTTACAAACTGGGCTATCGCTGATGTTGGGCAGGATGCATTTGATGTGGAACGAAGGTCCACAACCACGGAAAACGTTCCAAGTGAATTAACCTTTTTGCAGGCAGGCAAATCGCAAATCGATGGAAATTTTAAAGGAAGATTTATATTTTATATTTACAGATCGTGATACAATATAGTCAGGACGTCCTTGGAAATTGTTCCAAAATATGAGTGTGTACCAAAGTTAAAATATTACTCATAATCTCTAGAACATGTTTGAATGTTTTGAATCACTGCAGTTTAGAATTAGCACTCTTTTAAAGACAACAGAACTGGCAGCCATTGCACCCCATAACTATTTAGTGTACAATACTAGTCAATGTAATTAATTACTATTCCCCCAACCGAGAAGTAGGCAGTTTTTACTTCTCAGCACTGTCACTATCTGTACATATCTGTGTGTAAATATCTGGTTTTGTCTCGGTGACCCTGCTTTGCCCCACACTTTGGGATTTGAGCAGGCGGGGATTTATATTGTCTGGTATTGGTACATAGTTTACCATAATCACAGGATATTATTGAAAGATTTCCCTACCAATTCACTGCCTTAAAAGCATTATATTATTTGCTCTGTATGTGTGTGTATTACTTTAAGTGTACTCTGGTTCCAGAGGCTCTTTGCGAGGCGAAAGAAACAAGATGCGAGAACGGAGAGCCTCTGGTCACATCAGGGCCGTATCACCAGGGGGCAGTAAGGCTTATATGTTGAAAAAAGTTCCAAATATCCAAAGAATAATTAATAATGACATTCTAAAAATTGTAAATATAGTTTTCTTTAGGAGGGCAGTTTCCCCCTCCTGCCGCCCCCTCCCCTGTGCTGTGTACAGCCCAGGGTCACTGTCCATTGCGAATCCCACTTCCACACTTGATTAGGTTCAGCATTTGAATTTCGCATGTGATTGCCCATTTGTAAAAATATGCCAAACTGGCTTGGGAAATAAACATTGCTGTAAGCTAATTATAGCCTGTATTAAAATATTCTATTAAACTCAACCAAGAATGTATTACATGTCCTGCAAAACTGATTAATGTTGATATGTTTATCTCCTGAGAAATTTAATACCTTTTCACCTGCGGGAGTATTAATATTCATGCTTGGTTGAGTTTACTATAATAGCTTGGGGCTTTTTAATTGGGGCTTCGGTGGCCAAGTGGTTAGCGCACTTGCCTGTCACCTCTGAGGCCGCAGGTTCAAGTCAGTGAGAACTTTCTCAATGCGACTCAAACCCAGTCCTCATGTGAAAAGAATAAACCGCAACGCTCTGCCGAACGTCACAGGTTTTCCCCGGGTACTCCAGTTTCCTCCCACATGGAAAGTTGACAGGGTGGGTTGGGTAAAAAGGGCTCACAGTAATTGGCATATGCTGTTGTGGTGACCCGGCCCTATTTGGCATGCTAAATAGATAGATAGCTATAATTAGCTCACAGTAGTGTTTATTTCCCAAACAGGTTTGACATATTTTTACAAATGGCCAATCACATGCAAGATTCAAATTCTGAACCTATTCAAGTGTGGAAGTGGGATTTGCAATTGATATGATCAGAGGCTTTCCATTCTCACCTCTTGTTTCTTTTACCTTGCAAAGAACCAGGGTACACGTAAGAGTAACACACAGGCAGACCAAGTGCTGCAATTCAACTAAGGGCCTGTTTATATGCAGGAAGCCGGGCTTGGCCTGCTTAGCGAGACAGGCAGGTGGGATGAATTTCTCTTGTGTTTATATGGGAAAATTTCATCCCGCTTGCTGGTTTTGACAGTTGTTAAAAATAGCTTGTGGCGGTATCTTTCATCCCAGCAACTGGGCTAGCCCGCTTGTGAGTGTTTATATGGAGAAATTTCCACCCCGGTAAGCGAGATCTCACCTCTTTTCAAGTGAGATCTCACCTCTTTTCAAGTGAGATCTCACCTCTTTTCAAGTGAGATCTCGGCAACCTGGCCAGCCCACTTGTCCATATAAACGCACAATAATTTTTACTATAAAAATAACTACACAGCGAGATCTCGCTTACCGGGCTGTCTCACTTAGCGGGCCAGCCCGGCTTCCATATAAACAGGACCTAAGTACCAGTCAATATAAGTCCCCGCTTGCTTGAATCTAGGAAGTGTGGGGTTCATGGGGCAAAGCAGGGCCACTGAGACAAAGCCAGGCATTTATACAATCCAGCAATTTTGATTATGCAGTGCTGGGAAATAAAAACTGCCTACTTCTGGGTTGGGGGAGGTGGTAATTTACATTGTCTGGTATTTGTACACTGAATAGTTATGGGGTGCCATGGCTGCCAGTTCTGTTGTCTTTAAAACGACTGCTAATTCTAAACTGCAGTGATTCAAAACATTGTCCAAACATGTTCTGGAGATTATGAGTAATATTTTAACTTTGGTACACACTCATATTTTGGAACAATCACCAAGGACGCTGACTATAAATGTATCAAGATCTGTAAATATAAAATATAAATCTTACCTGCGATTTGCCTGCCTGCGAAAAGGTTAATCCACTTGGAACGTTTTCCGTGGTTGTGGACCTACGTTCCACATCGAATGCATCCTGCCCAACATCAGCGATTGCCCAGTTTGTGAAGCAACAACGTTGGCAAATGTTGAAGCTCTTGGAAGGTCTTCGAAAGACAGCAAATATTAACGCTGATTGCCCCGGTGACTTGCTTTGAAGAGGACGAAAGCGACCAAGAAAGTGAGGCAGCCGATGACGATTGACGACGAACCAGAAGACGAACAGAACGAAACCCTCGTGAACAGTTTATTAGCAAAAATATTAAGCCCTTCGCGAAGGTCTGTCAGACAATCGCCATTTTGCCAACCGGATATGTACTTTTAATGTACAGTAATGAGTCATGCGATATTGTACCTGTCAGTCGTGGATCGTTGTGACGCATTTCCGATGCGAAATGAGATCGATGAGATCAGATAGGTAATATTTAAAAACATGTCAGCTGTGGTGTGGGGAAAATAAGTTTAAACTGCCAAATCTACCAATTTTTTATGTGTGTGTAAAGATAGTGCAAGTGAGAGTCTGCTATTTTACGCGCGTCGAAACACTGTTATTCAAACATAAATATTTCGCGTTCTAGATCGAATTTTAAAAATCCCCCCGAGGAAATTAAAGAAGAAAGCATGCTTTATCAGAATTTGTCAGTTTTGGCGAAAAAAGTTTAATATCGAATGTCACCGAGGGCGTAGAACAAGGTGTTATTTTCTCACTCCTTTTGTTTACATGTTTCCAATTTCAGGCATTCTGATTGGTCAAGAACGCAAAATGTAAACAAACGCGCTGATTGGCTAACATTATTTGCCCTTGTTTGCAAACAGAGTTCAAAGAGAGCCTGTTCGCAGGCTATCATGTCCGAAGCATAAATTATGGGATTATCTCAAACATTCAAACAACGCCAACACAGAAAAAATTATATTACTAGATTACACAGGTATAGAAGATTAGAAGGAACTAGATTCTGTTCCGAAATATCACTTACTCGAACCGTCCTGACCGCGTAGCTCAGTTGGCAGAGCATTGGGCTAGTATTCCTAAAGGTCGTAGGTTCGATTCCCACCGTGGACGGGCATATTTTTCAAGCTCGCCCGGTGTGGATATACACTCAGAGTAACATCACAAACATCATATTCACCTGAGTACACAACACCAACACAGAAAAAAAATTCAAATTATGTTGAAACATGCAACTGACCTATACATATCACTGGAGGACGCGCTCTATTTAATTTCGGGCTGCAAGCATGCGCAGGCTACCAAAATGACGTCAAGACGACACCGAGCATGAGAGAAAATAGCCTGGGTACAAAGTGGATGACGTCCTTGGCCCATATCTCAATCTCGTTCCCCGAGCCTGCGATCCTCGGGAAGGAACGAGAGGCTCTGGGATAATCCGTTTCAGGATTTATAGTTCAATCTTAGCCAGGATTCCTGGCTTCCGGACGTTCCCTGCCGAGGATCGCAGGCTCGGGGAACGAGATTGCCCATATCTAAATTCATGATAGTAAAGAGTCGCTTTGCCCGCGCGGGCGAAGCGGGCTTTGAAAATCTACTCACGCGGGCGTGACGGGCGTCAAAAACAATGAACGAAGCGCCCGCGCGGGCACAGTGAACGTTAATTGCAAACGGCCTTAACTACAGACACAACTTAGTTACCTATTTCAGTACCAAATAAATCGTTCTTCACATAGTTAATGCACAAAATCCTGATATTTAGCCTGCAAACAGGCCCTTCTGGGCTGCTTATGGTTAATTTAAATTTGTACACTGGTAAAAACGCACAAGTTGTCACAGGCACAGAGTAGATAAGACATACAGAGACGTAACTGACCGTTGTAAACACTGCGGAAGGTTACGTTATCATGTACCCACTTTTTTTCATGCGACCGGGCGAAAAATAATCAACTGCGCGTGCTCAGCAAGTTTAAAGTGAGTCGTCGTCAGGTCGTCATCGAATCAGATGCATGCATCTAGTAACTTGCCGAGCATGCGCACAAAAAAGTGGGTACACTAGTTACGTCTCTGTATGTCTCTACTCTGTGTCACAGGTTTGCAAACAAGTTGTTACAAATATGTTTACAAGATGTCAAGAAGTTGTGTTCGCACTGCTTGTTCCCAGTTGTTGGAACAAGTTTGGAGGCATTATCAGACTTGTCACAAGGTTGTTCTAACAAGTCTGATACAATCATATATGATAATCAAGAATGTTACAAGGTTGACGACACAAGGTTGCAGCAATACTGCTATATCATGACTGTATCGGAGTTGTTGGAAAACCTTGTAACAAGCCTGATAATAATTTGTTAAGTTGTTAACAATTTGCAACAACCTTGTTGATACTGGTCAGATTTGTTGCCAGGTCGATACAGTCATGATATAACAATATTGTTAATACAACCTTGTGTCGTCAACATTCTTGTAACATTCTTGGGGGTATAAAAACAACTAAGTTCTGATGGATGATTTACAAATTTTGCAAAACAAGGCCGCAAAGGTCATACTTGGATTACCACGCACACACTCGGCTACTGATGCCCTTCAGAAATTAAATTGGGTAGAACTAAATACAAGACGTCAACAACATCGTTGCATTGCAATTCATAAGTGCCCTCATGGCACTATGGACACAGAATTAATACTGATTCAGAACTGCAACCGCCATAGTTATTCCACTCGTCGGAGTGTCAACCTTTATCTTCCAAAAGTTAAAACAGAATGGGGAAAACAACGCTTTATATATCAGGCAGCGAAGGGTTGGAATGACTTAGATAATGACATTAAGAATATAGCTAATTTTAATATTTTTAAAAGAAAACTTTTCTCTTAACATTTTACCATTTAAAGTTTAGCATATTTTAACTTTTTTTAATAGTATTATAACTTAGGATAGTTTTCTTACAGATATTCATATATGTATAATATTGTATTTGTGGTGAGGGCTTCATTGAAAAGCATCTTGGGATGAATGAATTTCGCTCAATAAAATATTATTATCATTATCATTCTTGATGACAGTATCAGACTTGTTAGAACAACTTTGCTACAAGTCTGATAATGCCATCAAGCTTGTTAGAAGTTGTTAACAGCTTGTTCCAAACTTTTTACAACAATTGGGAACAAGCAGTGCGAACACAACTTGTGAACAGATTTGCAACAACTTGTTTGCAGACCTGTGACAACTTGTGCGTTTTTACGTGTGTACACACGTAAA